CGAAAGAGACAAATACCGTCACTGGACACAAAGTCCTAAGCTTACCCCCGTGAATAGCTTCCCGCATCGCGTCTTATGTTTGGACGGCTCACGTGCCACCTTGTTACCATTCTGGACGGGGGGAATGGCGGAAGTCGTCAAGCCAACGCGTCATCTTCATGTCTTACATGGCCCATTCTTCGTGTCTTACATGGCCCACTCACCGATCTCCAGAGAGAGTTGGCCGAATTAACTTGGCGTTACACAAAGAAACGAGGACAGCCACGCCACCAGACGGCAAAGCGAATTCCCTGCAGGGAAGGCACTTGATGTATTTTGGGAGCGAATGTGCCGCCAGGGATGCGGCTACATATTTTGTCGTTTTTCGGAGGCCGCGCACACAAAAGTGTGTGCGCACAAACACGCGTACAAGAAAAAATCCTGACGCTCCTGCAGTCAATCCGTTTAACCAGAAGAATAAATCATGATTTTACCTCTTTTAAAAAATAATTCTTTCGATCTAGTTGGCGCTTGTATACGGGGCAAATACCTGAAGGAATTGGTAGTCAGTAGTCTGACCACTATAGCTGGAACAGTCAACGCCAACGTAAGTTTGACCGGGGCACGCTTTGTCCCGAGCAACAGACCAGTTCGAGATCATGCCAATCTTCTTCTCCTGCCAGTGAGCCACGTTCGTCTTCGCCGCCTCCAATGTATACGTCAGACATGTGCTGTCGTTCATACCAAGCATGGGAGTGCTTCCCACGTAGTGGTACACATCATCCTGACTGCTCCAGCCGTATTGCTGCAGCTTGCCACGGGCATTGGCTAGATCATAGAGCTGCTTAGTTAGGTAATCGATAGCGTCTCTCTCGCACTTGTCAACGACCTCGGTAGAACACATGGTAGGGCACTCTCCGTAATCCATATTCATCACATTGATGACATCAAACGGAGCATCCTGATCCATCATCTGTGCAAAGAAGTTGCTGCCGTCCAAAGTAAGACCAGTAGGCAGAATAGGCAGGGTCCATGTCACATGAAGGCCAGGACGCTGCTGCTTCAACTGCTTCACAGCCTCGAAACGGTACTTCCAGCCAGTGGTTGCCTGGATGCCAGAATACGCGAGACCTTCAATGTCGAAATCAATTCTATTGGAATTCGTGAAGTCAAGGATGCGACCATATTCGCTAACCAAGTTGGCAACAGCATCACCAGTCTGGCACTCCGCAGAGTCAGCTAACTCTGTGCCGTTGGCACCACCGAAGGAAATAACAAAATCGCCACCCATTTCACGCAGCTTCTTCAATTCATCGTACAGGTAAGTAAACTTACCATCGGACTCGTAAGTAGGACCAGATTCAATGGAAATTGCACCAGCATAAGCGCCATTGCATCCACCAGTCTTCAAGGACGGCTCGCTTGTGGACACGACGAAAGCGACAATAAAGTGGTTCACTCCGTACTTGGAGGCTAACTCAGTGAGAGGAGGCCAGCCATAGAGCCCGGAATCGAAATAGGGGGCGTAGACTTGCTTGGGCCAGCTAGGCTGACTTGCGGGCATCGATCCATTCCAGTAGGCGAACTTCTGGTGAGCTTTCGCATCTGCACAGGCAGCATCGTCCTTCTGGTTAGCACCACCGCACCATTTGAAGTAGCATTTGTCTTCTTCCACGCTCTTGCAGTTGACCTGGCCGTTGTTGATCGTTCCACAAGCGTCGCAACAGGTGCAAGTCAAGTCCATCTGCCACTGAGGCGGGTCAGCAGCCTGGTTCTCAACACCTTTCGAGTCGGTGCCAGTAATGCACTTGCCAACAAAGGCCCATGGTTCCGAGGTGAGAGAAGGCTTCTCTCCTTCATTCCAGTACTTGGCCTTGTACAGGGCTCCATCAATATGTGCCTGCATCCCTTCGGTAGCGTAAATTGCGCGACCATCCCAGGCGAAAACTTCAGAGCAATCTTCAGTTCCCGGAACATTGGACATACCATCACCAGCAGTACCGGACTGGCATGCACCCATCAACGTCCAGGGCGTCCAGCCAAGGCTGTCGTCACCAGGAATATTGCTCGCATCAACCCAGGTAGTGGCCTG